AGACGCAATCTCAGAATATTCTTGGTTGGAAGGAACTCACGAGGATCGTTGCGTCCAACTCCTGGTCCTGCCCAGGACAGCCACAAGCGTTACACCGTGCGCCTGAGAGTATAGTCTAAAAACCACTTGAACTGTGTCAGGCATGGCGTTGGGGAGTCTGTTCCACTGCCCAGCCACCCTCTGTGTGAAGAACTTTTTTCTAATATCTAACCTAAATCTCCCATGACACAGCTCTAGGCCAGTCCCTTGACCCTGTCCCCTGGTCACCACAGAGAAGAGGTCAGTGTCTGCCCCTCTTCCCCTCATGAAAAAGTTACAATTGCAATGAGGTCTCCCCTCAGTGTCCTCCAGGTTGAACAGACCAAGTGACCTCAGCTGCTCCTCCTACAGCTTCCCCTCAAGGCCCTTCACCATATGTTGCCCCTCTTTAGATGTTCTTTAGTAGCTTTGTATCTTTCTTATAGTGTGATGCCTGGAACAGCACACAATATTCAATGTGGGGCTGCAATAGCACGGAGTAATGGGAACAGATGGGCCAGAGACAAGTTAGCCTTGGACTTCAACTTCACTAGGAGAAGCAACAGCCCTGGCTCCACGCACATTGGATCTGTGCACGTTGGGTCCCTTACATTTGGAAAACAAAAATGAGCTGTACTAAACCATTCCATAATATGTGAGAAGTGTCCCCAATATTGGCCCAGGTTGCTGCCTGCCTCCATGCAGCAGACAGAGCTGTGGTCCCACTCCTCTCCATGCAGCAATACTCCCTTACAGCCTGGGAGAGACTTGGCTTCTCAGTGCCAGTTCTTGCAGGGAGAGATGATCTCTACTTGTCCGAATGATTTCACAAGATCTGGAAAGCAACAGCTAGCCAAAGCAAGTTGTAAGGGGCTTACTGCACCTGTATGTCCTTTACTGTGGTGATGGCACACTGGAACAAGCTGCCTGGAGAAGTGGTGGAGTCTGCCTCACTGGAGCTATTCAGGAACCATCTAGACACAATCCTGTGCCCTCTGCTCTATGATCCTGCTTGAGAAGGGAGGCTGGACCAGATGTCATTCTAATGTCTAACTTCATTAACTGAAGTTGCAGTTCTCAGATCCCAATCCCACTTTTGGGCTTTATTTCATTAAATAAAGCCCAGTTCTCATAGGTGTCACATTATCCTGAGAACCTTGGAGCAGCTCCTCTTCCAGAATAAGCAAATCAACATTACAAGCTGCAAGTGACAAGCGTCTCTTTCTTCTTTCAGATAACTGCATTAGTAGGAACATGTGAAATGACACAAAAGTTATAATTCATAGTAAACTGAAGTAACCAAGCCTGTAATTTATCATTTCTCACAAAAGAACAATGTTTATCTGTCTTATTGCACCTTGACCCCTTTATGCATTTTCTACAAAATATTTTAAAAAAAGCTAATCTCATGTAACTAAAGGGTGCACTTCTTGAAAATTACCACAATCACCATATAATCTGGCAGTGCACTGCAGTAGTATGGCTTACTCCTGAAATTATTTTATTTAAGAAATCCATCTTCAAGTTAAAAACACTATTTCCTTTGATTTTAAATGGAAAAATGTTACTTAGTTCTCTGCAGTTTAAAGATTTCCCTTCAAATAGCAGATAAAATTTAGCTACTATTCTAGACATGCAGTTAAAAAAAGAACCCTGCACTTAAAACCACACCACTTTCTCCATCAGAGCAGCGTAGTATTAAGGTCTATCTGACTAGCACTAAGGAAATTATCTAATTCTCTAAATAAAGCCTGAATTCAAAATAGTATGCATATTCTTTCACAACTGCACCAAGTGCCATGAACTCTGATTCACTGCAGGGTTTAAGTATTACCAGGGAGTTTTGAGACTCAGTTCTTAATGGTGTAAAAACAGTCACCAGCTTGGCTTATCCAAGTGAAAACCACTGGCAATAGACCAGAGACCTGCTCATATCCTTTAACACAAAACAAGGAGTATTTACCATGGTTTGAAACTTGTTTGGGTTTCAACTACCCTTCATAGGGCATTCTTTGCTCATCACCTGTTTCTATTAGCAGAGACAACTAAACCACTGCAGTCAATTTCTGAAGTATCTACATACATTTTTGCATGTAGAAAACTCTTGAATATTTATACAGCATTAAAAAACTAAGTGTGCATAAATATTCTACATCAAAGATGCAGCAATATAAAGCTTTCAGTTTCAGATCTGAGTTGTTTTATTTTCTCTAGAATAAAAATCAGAGTACAGCCTGGTTTCAGAGTAGAGTACTCAAAAAGTGATCTGGCAGAACTCTTAATGAACCATTTGGACAGAGCTTTTATTTAAGAAATAAAAATTCATTTCTGGCATGCTTCAGAAATTCTTACTCACCTGATGATAACAAAACCCATCAGAAGACAGACATGGGAAAGCACAGGTCAATCAGCTTATACACTATTTTCTACTCATATTCTGTATTTTCTTTGTTAGTTAAGGCTGGCTGATGTGGGACCTGCCTGACTGCTCCCCTACATCCTTAGCCTTACATACAAGCAGACTGATTGAGCTGCTGCTCCGAGTTCATTATCAACGTTTTAACAATCAGATTGCTTTCAAAATACAAAATCTGAAAACAGTCACTTAAATAGCTGCATACCAGATTATTTTGGCTGGAAAAAAAGCCTGCATATTTATCCAATTTCTTTTGTGGAAAATGTAAGTTTTTATCACTTGAATGAATGACTCTACACATGTAACAAATGTATTGATATAGCCACACAATATCTGTAAAAGTTATGGTGCACAAATTAAATGCTCCCTTCATTACATCTTTAGAATTATCTTGCAAGTTGGAAAACACTTTAGCACAATTCAAGGGATAAAGTAATTACATTACATACTCTCATTCTGTTTTGTAAATCCCATTGATTTTTATTGATAGTGATAAATGCATTTAGTTTTCAGTAAGAGTTACTGTTTCTACTTTTCCTAACAATATTTCAAGGCTGTAAAGGTGCAATTTCAAGGGCCAAGAAAATAACTCAAGTAAAACAAGTTCTTAGGACACAAAGACCAGGATGGTCAAAAGCAGAGTGGCTCAATCAGATCACAGTACACACCTGAAATGGAAGCCTTTCCTGCCCCTTTGTGAAAGTACATGATCTTGTGCATCCCATAAAACTATTTCTGGAGGTTAATTAACATTTAAACAATATTCCTAAGTGAAAAAATTATCCTATCACTCAATATTTAAATTTTTTAAAAGAAGGCTGAACATAAGTTCACCATGGCTGTATATGAAAAGCTGTTTCCTCAGCAATAAGGATACTGAAATCTAAGTTTTATGTAGATAAACAGGCTAGGATTGAAAAGACACACAGACACCTTCCCCCAAAACAATGGCCTCTGATTTTATTCTTTAGCCTTTTTCAAGCTGTCACTATAACTTTACATTTTGTACAGTATTTTGTGTATCAAGGGAAAGAATTATCTTTAACAAGATTCCATGTATTACAATATCAAGGACCGTTGTATTTGCATCCATGATGTTTAAAAAATCTCTCAGACAAACCATGTAGAAATAAGTATGCAAAAACTGCAAAGAAAAACATTTAAGTAGCCAAAATTAAAAAGACCTTTGTGTGAACCACAGTCTAGCTCGGGTTTCTACTAGGCTATTGCAGCCAAGTAGTCCTTAACCTCAGTTGGAGTGAGCCTCCTAAAACCAGCTTCATTACAGATGCCAACTTCAATGTTGTCTTCTGTCATTTGCCCTTCAAAGCTCTCCTGTTAAAAAAAGTACAGTTCAGTGAAACATGTCAGTGAAGATATAAGAAACTTCTTTCTTAAATGCTTTGCTCACCTTTAGTGTTAAGATAGCTGTATGAATGGCATCTTCAAGCTCCAAATCTTCATTGTATCTGTAAACAGACATTCATTTATTTCAGCATAGGACAAAAACCTTTACAAATTTTAATAATCCTGGAGTCTCTAAAATCCCCAAAACTACTAAAATCTGTTTCTCATACAAGTATTATTTGTAAGCATAGGGGCATTAATAGTCAGTTATAATTTTTTTAAGAAAATCCCTACTTTCCCTACTGACACTGTATAAAACATTATTGCAAATACGCTGAATATAATGTCTACTGAACTCAAGTAACTCTACATAAACACAAAAGTTGAGTTTAAATAAATCAAACTTCCTGCGCACTTGTAAACAAGTACACTGGAAGCATCACACCTAAAGTATTTTAAAACTTTGTCCTTACAATTTAAAAAGTGTACATTTTTAAAATCTGGCTATTTTATATGGAACCTGAACAAAACACAGTATCTTTTCAGAGAAGTATCAAATACATTACCTTTTCTCAAGAAATGTTTTCCCATTGACGTAGTTTTTTCCCATTGCTGTTGCTTTCCAGGCAAAATAAGCTCCCTGTAAAAGCAATAATCTATTGATTGAATTGTTCTGTGTAACTTAGTGAAAGACTGTGTATTCAGTTACTTGGTAAAAAAGTACAGCAGCAAAACACTGAGTGTTCTGAGACTACAGGAGAGAATTTGGATCATACTGAGATTAATTTTATATGGGATCATATGCTGTGAAACTGTACAAGATGTGTATTGCACCCCACCTATTTTCATCCTCTCGCTACTTTGAAAGATGCATTTAGTAAGTCATTAGCATAGTTTGGATTTGGGATACAGAAACAGTTCATTTGCCTTTGAGAAAGTGTACACTCAAATCCTTACTGAGACTCACCCCACATATTCTTCTTTTGGAAGATAAAGTAATGTAAGTGACTTGTTGCAAATCAGCCATCTTATTTATGTTCACTACTAACAAGATATTTAGGCATCACTTCTATTCCCTCCTCTGGCATGAAGATCAGCTGCCTTAAACAAGTCATTGGCATTTTGCTTTTTACACTGAAGCATCAGGTAATTCAAACCACCAGAAGCTGCAGTGATCACTACAATGACCTCATTTTTTTTCATCTGAAGCACTGCACCTCATACATGCATCAAAGGGTAGTTTTTCTGAAGTGCACTGCAAACTCAGCAAATAAACTCATTTAAATTGACCACTGTCATTAAATACCACAGCATGTGCATTACATCTCAGAGTGCTACAGGTTTTGGCTTCAATTCCATCCAGTTTGGAACAGTATAAAGAGTCAATTTATTTTTTCCTAGTAGCTGTTACAGAACACAATTTTTGCTGGCACTATCAACTAGGTGAGAAGGTATGAAAAGGGATGACCTCCCTGAGAAACAGCTGCCATCCCTCAAAGCAGTACAGGAACATGGAAGCACAGAATGATGCAGGCTTGCTCCAAGCACCTACTGAAATGACCCATTTTGACTTCTGACGTTATCTTTCACTCTAGCTCTGTATTACTATTCTCATCACAGAAAGTATTTAATGAGCACATGCAAAGTTTCACATGTTTTATCAGAGCAGCAAAAGTTACAAGTGTAAGATACTTACAGATGGATCCGACTGAAATAAATACGGCCGCCCCTCATTCCAGCCACATATTAGCAGCGATACACCAAAGGGACGAACACCACTACAGGCAAACAAAACAGAATGAATTATCCAGTGAAAGTCAAAGGTGACCCATTATTTTGGATGTGTTTATCTTCTCCCCAGACCTGTACCAGGGCTGTAATGAGGATGAGTTAACCAAGAGAATAAAACCAGAAGTGTCCTGCCTTGGCTGACATGTTTTTGTGCAAGATATGGAGACCCATTCTTGCCCACTGCCAGTCAGCGCTCCTCCTACTGGCACACTTTCTGTGCGCATTCTCCACTGAAAAACTGCCTCTTCCACAAAACCCCCAATCAGTGGGTAGCTGTTACTCATTCCATTTAAACACCACAATCTTTCCAAGCAGCTCTGCAATCCCAGCACGTACCCAGACTGCGTGTACTCCTGCATCACAGAGGCAATTCTCTGTACGAGCTGAGCTGTTGGAATGGGCTCATGATAAACCAAGTAATACTGCTGGGCCAGCTTCCGAGCTCTGTGCACAAGTACTCTGAAAACAAAGACAAAAGTACTATGTCAAAAAAATTCCAACTAGAACTGAAAACTCATAATAATAAATATCTATTCAGGAGTTGTACATCTGGCATAACATCAATGTAAGAACACAAGACCGTGCTGAGTTATTTTATCAACCAAGCAGTTGCTGAAATATTTAAAGCAAGGTTGAATTACACTGCTTTTATTCTTTAGATACAAGGTTATTTGACAAGTAATGAATACATTAAGAAAAAATTCAAGTGAATGTCATTCACAGTGCCATATAGTATTATGACATACACTTAGAAAGAAACAGCTAATTGCTACCTATTACTTAAACTGGTAGGAATATGCATCTAAATGGTGATCAAACAGAATGTTTTAGTACCTGTAATCTGGACCCATACCACTGTACACTAAACCTATATGTTTGGTAATTGGTTCTACTTTGTGGACGCTCCTTTCATCATACAGAATGGATTTCTGCTTCTTCTCAGTTGCCAACACCACTCCATTTGCAGCTGGAAAAGAAAAAAAAAATCATTTAAAAATTAAACTAAAATTAGCAGTCAAAACACAGGATGAGCTTAATAAAACTGTAAAAACTTTTCTTCTTCTCTTTTTAAAAGCCATTCAAGCTTACAATCAGGTTAAAGAGAGATACTTTGATGAATACACCCAACACATTGTTTCTTTTTTTAAACAGCCAGGCAGCTCCCATAATCCCATTCTAAAGATGCTGTATAACATTAATAATTGACCAATCTAGCTATCTTTTTTTTGTGTGTGTTAATTCTATATATAAGGACAGGAACACTCAAAAACCAAACATCTACTTCTACCAGCTGAATGTCTCACCCAAAAAAAAAAGAACCCCAGGAACCATAAAACGTATTAAAACATGTGAATGTCCACAGAAAGAGTGACAAAATATGTAACAGAAAGAAAGATAAAGAAGGATCCAATACATGATACAATACAAAAGACCCAGTACATGATCCAAACTAGTTTAGTTCTCCCAAAAAAATAGACAAAATCCCAATTCCATCAGTATTTTCAGGACATACCTTTAATCCCAACTGATGGAGCTCCTGCAGCTACTGCAGCCAAAGCATATTCAATCTGAACAAGCTTCCCAGAAGGACTAGAAAGGAAGATACAAAATAAAGTTTTCCACTAATTGGGAAAAATCTGCAGGGTGTGTCATGACTTTCTATTGAAATTACATTGTATGTGTGATTTCCAAAAGCTTTCAAGGCACTGATGTTCACTGCTGAAAAGAACCAGCAAAACACAGCTCTGCTTTTTGACTGACAAACACACAAGGTCAATGGCACAAAACAGCAACAACTCCCATTCTATCCCCAGGTATTCCCGCATTGTGTTTCAATGATCCACACTATTCTAGTAACTGAGGCAGAATAATCAGAATGGAGCTGCAGGTGTCAAGCAAAATGAGTTACAAAGTAGCTTATTCAGAAGGAGAGGGGTCCATTCCCTATCCCCAGTAGAAAGGACACCAGAGGCAGCACTCACTGGACAAGTGATTTTGCAGGTGGATCTGTTCTCTACTCCAGGCTGTATTTCAGACCCTGCTGCTTTAATAGTTGCAGAAGTAAAACAGGATATTATGTAACTCAGTGCTTAGATGAAGAAAACAAAGCAAGGAATAATCAATCAGTGTAGTTACTGAGGAAACACGGTGACAAAGTAGTAATTCTGGCTTTTCCACTACAAACTATAAAAAATCAGAACGATCATTCCAAGCACATAGTGCTTCTGTAAAACACAAAAGGTTTGTGACTCCCTTAGGAAATCATTTCTGAAAGCTAATAAAGAATTCAATCTACTTGAGCAGAACAAGCATCCATGCTCCCATCCATGAAGAACATTCATTTCATCATTTTAGGTTACGAACTGCTTCATTTGCTCAACTGCACCAAGCCTTTAGCAATCCCTTTTGCAATTACACAGCGTGACTCTCTGCTGAGATTAAGGGGACACTTCCCCATGAGCAGCATAAAGGTTCTTGTGATCAGTTTTTCTTTTTTCTATATGCAACATAGGTCTGAATAACTTAATAGCTTAAAAAAAATGAATGGAAGGTAATCTCCTTTATTCTGAATTAATCTTCAGTCTAGGTATTAGAGCAATACCCCAACAGACACCACTCCATAGCGTATTCACTCTGTGCATGCCATCATTCCACGTTCAGGCTGTGCACAACACCAAGTGCAAGGAAAGCAGCCACTGCCAAGCGTAGCAGAAGGAACACAAACTATTTTAAAACTCATCTGCTTCACTCATTCCCACATCTGAAGCAAGCTCTCAGGACACCACAGCTCAGCTGTCATCAGGCATTTCCAATTAGCTCAGAATCACAGTTATTCCCCAGCCTACACTGTGTGTGTGGTGCCCCGAGTTTGCTAAGCCGAGCACTCGCTGTAAGGCAGCGCCAGTGTCCGGACAGACCTTACAGCAGCTCTGTCTCACAGCAACGCGGAGACACAAGCGGCGCCCGCACCGGGCCCCGAGGCCAGCGACAGACCCCAGGAGCCTCGCTGCCGCCCTAGAGGAAGGCTCTGGGCAGCTGCGTGTCCCCCTCGGGCGCCTGACCCCACCGCTCTCCCCACGCCCGCCACTCCCGTCCAGGTGGAGCCCCCGCTGCTCCCCAGCGCTCGCAGGCCCGATGACTCTGCAAAGCGCCCCCTCGGTCCTGCCTCGCCGCCGCCGGCAGGCCGCTCCGCTCAGGCTGCGCGCCGTTCTCCCGCTGGCCCGGCAGCCCGCCCGCCTCTGCCCACGAGCCCATAGCCGTCCCTGCCCCGGCACCTGAAGGTGGTGAGGGAGAAGCTGTAGCCGCGCTCCGCCATTTTGGCACCAGCCCCTGCGCTCCGCGCGCCGGCTCCTGGGCGCAGGCGCGGGCGCCGCTCCCGCTCCCAGCGCTAAGGCACACCGAGCGCGCTGATTGGCGGCCTGGTGGCCTCTGCCTGAGCGTGCTGGGATGCGGTTGGCGGCGAGGCGCGCCGTGAGGCATGCTGGGAGTTTGAGTCCTCCCTCCGCCCTACACCGCCCCGCCCTCCCGGTAGCGAGAGCAGTGCTGGGACTTGGAGTCTTGGTCCTGTCTCCCTGCACTGTCGTGACCGGCTGAGGGCACTCGGTTTCCCAGAAGGCTCAGGAACAGGGTCGCCTCCCCCGCGGGCTCGGCTGGGCCGTCTGGGCTTATGGCGGTGCTGGTCCTGGTCCGCTCTCCTTTGCCGCGGCTTCGCGCTCTGCTGCAGCGCTGCTGGGGGCGGCTGGAGCGCGGCCTCTGGCCGGGAATCTTCGGGGGCCATAGCCCGCCCTGGGGTAGGTTCCGGGCTCTTCTCCGCCCAGCTGGACGCGTTCCTGTGTCACCTGCTTTGGGAAGGGCTTGGAGTACATGATCTCAGAGGTCCCTTCCAAGTCCATCGATTCTGTGATTTTGTGAGAGGGCGATGTCGGGGCTGAGGGACTCGTTTTTCTCTGAAGGGCGGAGGGCGCTGGGGTCAGTGAGGGAGCGGGGCAGGGGCGCCGCTCTGGCCTTGCTTCGGGGGTGACGGCAGCATCCGTGTCGTGTTTCCTCGACCGCACGTAAATGGGGCTTGGCTGTGAGGAATTTCTTTCTCACAGAATCACAGATTATGCTAAGCTGGAAGGGGCACACAAGGATCATCAAGTCTAACTCAGCCCTGCACAGGACATCCCCAAGAGTCACACCGTGTCCCTGAGAGCGTTTTCCAAACGCTTCCTGAACTCTGTCAGGCTTGGAGCTGTGACCACTTCCCTGGGGAGCCTGCTCCAGTGCCCAGACAGCCTCTGGGGGAAGAACTTTTTCCTAATGGCGGACCCAAACCTCCCTTGACTCAGCTTCATGCCATGCTCTTGAATCCTGCCACCACAGAGAAGAGATCAGTGCCTGCCCCTCTCCTTCCCCTCATGAGGAGGTTGTAGAATGTGATGAGGTCTCCCCTCAATCTCCTCCAGGCTGGACAGATGAAATAGCTTCAGCTGCTTCTTGTGTGGCTTCCCCTCCAGGCTCTTCACCATCCTTGTGGCCTTCCTTTGAATGCTCGGCTCTGCAGAAGCTTTTTATATGCTTCTGATATTGTGGTGCCCAAAACTGCACACGGTATTCAAGGGGAGGCTGCGCCAGTACAGGGCAGAGTGGGACAATCACGCCCCTCTTTTCCTTTCTCCTGCAGGACCAGCACTCGCTGTGCAAGGTGCGGCCCTTGTTCCACAAGGGATCGGTGATGCTGAGGCGCCCAGCCTGCCGGAGAGCGTGGTGTGGATGGCGGCGCCCAAGCACAGGCGCACCATCGAGGTGAACCGCTGCAGGCGGAGGAACCCCAACAAGCTCATAGAAATAAAGGTGAGCTGCAAAGCCCTTGATTTGGAGAATCATTGCAGAGGGAAGGACTGACTGTAAAAGCTCTTTGCAGTTTGGTTGTAAATCAATAAGCTTAAAAGATACTGTAGTCTTTAAAATCCTTTATAAATCCTTTGTAATTCCTTTGTAATTCACCATGTGAAGTAGTCTGAGGTTAAATAAACGATAACACTTGAGGTGCAAGCCCACAAAATGTGAATTTTGGCTGAACAGATAATGTAAATGGGAAAGGCCTACATTTTCTATGCATCTAATTGAGTCTATAGGTCTTTAGTCTTCCAAACATAATTAAGCATAATGACTTAAATACTGAATTTAGAGGCTGTTCTTAGTTGTAAGCATTTGACATAGCAACACATTACAGAAAAGTTATGTAGAGGAATACATTTTGAAATGGTAGGTGAATTTCTCTAATTTAACATTTTTATTTTGTATATTTTTATTTTGCCCTGTTTCTTTCTTTCTGTTATTCAAATTATGAATTTTCTTGTTTTCCACTGTCATTTTAGAGGAACATTGATGTTTGTCCTGAATGTGGAAACTTGAAGCAGAAACACGTCCTTTGTGGCTATTGTTACGCAAAGGTCAAAGAAGAAACTCAACTGATCCGGATGGAAATAAAAAAGAAAGAAGGAGGGCCATTTAATGCTCCAACTGTAGAGACTGTTGTCCTTTATGAAGGAGAAAAACCCACAGAAAAAGATGAAGGCAAGCGGATCATTGAAAGAGCCAGGAAGCGTCCATCTTGGTTTGTTCAAAATTGATGCTATAGAATTAATGGTAGCAAAAGCAGTTGCTGCAGGAAGAGAATTCATGATTTTACAGAATTTTTTTCTCGTTCACTCAGTGTGAACAGCACTCCTCTGAACTTTTGGGAAGCCTGCTTGAATTTTTGTTGTGCCATGTGATTTTCCAGTCAGGCACTGTTTCTCCAGCATGCAGTGGGAAATGCTTCTCAGTGGTGATACATCACAGCAGTCAACAGAGACAAATCAGGATCTGCCTTGGATTTGGATATCTGTGTACCATACCCTGAACAATTTGTATGCTAATATCCTATGCTAATTTTGTAAATAACATCTTCTAAATTCACAGATGTTCAATAAAGTTTGTTAAGCGTCCCAGGGAAATTTGCTTTCTGGTTTTGGCTACTGCTCTTTTGGAGGGGGAAAAATGTTTAAAAGTGATATTATTGATCAGAAACAAAGGATATTTGCAAGGAACTATGCAGTTATTTGGTTATTTCCTTTGCGTGGATCTCTCCACAATGTTGCTGTTTGCGATAGTTTGTGATAGTCCTAGGTTTGAGCAGAATAGTGGTTGCCACATAGTATTTGCTTTTTTTTCTGCACTGGACAAAAGTTGAATATTCCTTGCTGTTGTCAGTGTACAAGATAATTCTATCTTAAAGGGATGTGGAAAGCCTGTTTTCCCCTCCCATCAGCATACATTTGAGTAAAAAACCAAATTGAAATGTTATGACTGGAAATCTGTAAATGTGACAGGAGTCAAGGCTGTTTATTTGCAGCTGTTCAGTAGTCTGGGTGGTCAGTGTGTGCTTGGAAAACCACGAGCAGGCACGGTGCCTTCGGCTGGAGTCCTGGGCAGAGAGGGGGCAGCTCTGCCTCCACTCTCCACTGGTGCCTTCAGAGGTGCAGCTGCAGCACCTGCCTGGGTTTTCACTTTGGTTTTAGCCACACAGCAGCACCCCTGCTTTAGGGGTTTGAGTCTGTTTTCGGTTTTTGTTGGGGATTTCAGTATACACACAGTACTCTGGTATTGTGGCTTAGCCACCCTAGTAGCTATTTGGCTGCCAAAAAATGCGAACCTGCACCAACCCTGTCACCGAATCACTAGATGGGAAGAGACCTTCAAGATCATTGAGTCCAGCCCATGCCCTAACACCACCTCAACTAAACCATGTGCCACATCCAGGGATGTGACTCCACACCTTCCTGGGCAGACAATTCCAGTACCATATCACTCTTCCCATAAGAAACTTTTTCCTAATGTCCCACAAATATTTCCCTTGGCACAGCTTAAGACTGTGTCCTCTTGTTCTGTCAGTTGCTGCCTGGAAAAAGTGACCAACCCCCAGCTGACCCCAACCACCTTTCAGGAAGTTGTAGAGAGTGATAAGGTCACTCCTGAGTCTCCTTTTCTTCAGGCTAAACACCCCCCTCACTGAGCTCCCTCAGTCATTCCTCACAGAGATTGTGTTCCAAGCCCATCTCCAGCCTCGCTGCCCTCTGGATGTGCTCAAGCATCTCAACATCCTTCCAAACTGAGGGCCCAGAACTGGGCACAGCGCTCAAGGTGTGGCCTCACCAGTGCCGAGTGCAGGGGCAGAATGACCTCCCTGTTCCTGCTGGCCACACTGTTCCTGACACAGGCCAGGATGCCCTTGGCCTTCCTGGCCACCAGGGCACACTGCTGGCTCATGTTCAGCCTGTTGTCACTCAGTACCCCCAGGTCCCTTTGTGCCTGGGCACTGTCCAGCCACACCGTCCCCAGCCTATAACACTGCAGGGGGTTATTGTGGCCAAAATGCAGGACTTGGCACTTGGACCTATTAAACTTCATCCCATTGGACTCTGCCCACCCATCCAACCATTCCAGGTCTCTCTGCAGAGCCTTCCTACCCTCCAACAGATCAACACACGATCCCAGCTTAGTGTCATCCACAGATTTACTAATGAAGGACTCAACACCCTCATCCATGTCATCAATGAAGGTATTGAACAGAACTGTTCCCAGCACAGACCCCTGAGGGACACCACTGGTGGCTGGCCCCAGCTGGATGCAGCACCGTTCACCACCACCCTCTGGGCCCGGCCATCCAGCCGGTTCCTAACCCAGCACAGAGTGCTCCTGTCCAAGCCGTGGGCTGCCAGCTTTTCCCGGAGTGTGCTGTGGAAGACAGTGTCAAAGGCCTTGCTGAACTCCAAACAGAAAACACCCACAGCCTTTCAGAGACCTCATCCACCAGGAGGGTCACTTGGTCATAAAAGGAGATCGGGTTGGTCAAGCACAACCTCCTAAACCCTGCTGGCTGGGTTTAGGAGGCTGTGTTTGACACCCTGACACCCTGGCCATCCTGTAAGTGCTGTGTGATGACACTCAGTATAAACTGCTCCATCACCTTACTGGGTACTGAGGTCAGGCTAACTGGCCTAGAATTACCAGGATCCTCCTTCCCACCTTTTTTGTGAATGGGCGTCACACTGGCCAGCTTCCAGTCATCTGGAACCTCACCAGTGAGCCAGAACTCTTGGTAAATGATGGAGAGCGGTTTCACAAGCTCACCTGCCAGCTCCCTCCTCACCCTGGGATGGATCCCATCTGATCCCAGAGATTTATGAACATCCAAGCAGCTCAGCAGTTCTCGGACTGCCTCCTTCTGGACAACAGGGGAACCATTCTGCTCCCTGACACCATCTGCCAACCCAGGACAGCTGTCCTGAGGACAAGCCGTCTTCCCTCTAAAGATTGATATCGGAATAAATCACACAGGACTATTTTCTTCATGGTGGAAAAAGCTCATTCTTTATTCACATAACTCATTTTTATACAGTATTACAGACCTCATGTGTGACTCCAATTGGTTAGTAGCTTTCTTGCTAATTACTTTATCGGTTAGTAAAAGGTATTTTACTTGTCCATCAAATTTGTCTACTCTTCACTTGTTTACATATTTTTTTCACTGGTTCTCATGGGATAGATTTAATGTTTATGCAGGTGTTAGTTGTTTTTCACCTATGAATAGATTGCTATGTTAACAACCTGCTCACACCAGGATTGCTTTCACATGTGAACTTGCAAAGTGGTAGCTTGACAAGGCCAGCCATCCATTTAACAGAGCAGGCCTGATTTTATGAGGCCTTCCTTTTATAATTTTTCTACCTTGCTGCAACAAACTGAGGCAAAGAAGGCTTTAAGCACTTCTGCGTTCTCCTCACCTGCAATTACTAAGTTCCCTCCCACATCCAGTAGAGAACAAAGGTTGATCTTGCCTTTCCTTTTGCTGTTAATATATTTGTGAAAACATTTTTATTATCCTTTACAGAACTCGCCAAATTAAGTTCAAACTGAGCTTTGGCCTCTCTAAGTTTTTTTCCTACGTGCCCTAGCAACGCCCTTAAATACTTCCTGATAGACCTTCCAAAGATGATACATCCTCTTTTTATTTCTAAGTTCCTTCAAAACCTCATTGCACATCCACGCTGGACATTTGCCTTGTCAACTCATCTTTTGTCTCACATGGACAGTCTGTTCCTGTGCTCTCAAGATCTCTGTTTGAAGCACACTTCCCTCTCCTGGACTCCTTTGTTTTTAAGAGTTGCTTCCCAAGAACTCTCTGAATAAGTCTCCTAAACAGACCAAAGTCTGCCCACCAGAAGTCCAATGTAAAAGTCTTATTGGTGTTCCTCCTCACTTCACCAAATATCAAGAACTCTGTAATTTCATGATCACTCTGCCCCAAGCAGCCTCCAACCACCACATCTCCCACCAGCCTATCTCTATTTGCAAACAGCAGGTCTAACATAGTCCCTGCCCTGGTGGGCCCATTCACCAGCTATGACAAAAAGTTGTCCTCCACTCACTCTAAGAACTTCCTGGACTGCCTCTTTTCTGCTGTATTAAGTTCCCAGCAGATGTCTGATAGGTTGAAGTCACCTACAAGAATAAGGGCTGGTGATCCTGAAACATTCTCCACTGCTTACAGAATAAGTTGTCCACCTCTTCTTCCGTGTTGGGTGAATGATAACAGTAGGATGTCAGCCTTATTGGCCTTGCCCTTAATTCTTACCCATAGACATTCAACTTCATTGTCATTAGTTTCAATATCTACGGCATCCCTAATATAAAGGGCCACCCCTCCACCTCTTCTCCCTTTCCTGTCTCTTCTAAAGAGCTTGTAGCCATCCAGTGCAGCACTCCAGCCATGTGAGTCATCCCACCATGTTTCTGTGATAGCAATTACATCATAGCTCCAGTGCTGCACCATGGCCTCCAGCTCTTCTTGTTTGTTGGGAATGCTGTGCACATTAGTATACACACACCTCAGCTGGGCTGCTGATATTGCTCCTAACTCAGGCTTACCATCCTTGGGCCTGCTTCCAGAGAGACCAGCTACATCCCCTTAGCCCTTCAAACTTAGTTTAAAGTCCTCTCAATAAGTTCCACCAGTTCATGAGCTAAAATCCTTCCATCCCTGACAGAGAGATGGAGCCCATTCAGTTCCAGCAGGCCAAGTGCCATAAAGGTTGCCCCATGATCAAAGAACGCAGAATTCTGCTGATGACACCAACCCTTGAGACACTTTTTGATAATGTGAGCACTCCTATTCCTTTCATCATTTTCTCTGCCACCAAAGGGACTGCTCCCTTGAGCAGAGCATTACCCGTGTGTGGGTTGTCCTTCTATTTCCTTGGCACTTGAGTGCATGTGCTCCTTCGCTTCCTGGTTCAGGGAGCTGTGCTAACTTAGAACTGTTTCCTGGCTTTCTACATCATGGTTTTTTTGGTGGGGATCTCCCCATAGGGATCTTCTGTCAGGGTCAGGAAAGTGGCAGACTGTAGGAATATGAAAGTGGAGGACACAGGACCCCACTTTCCACAATAGCCTTCACTTGTAGTTGGCTGAGCTCCTTATGCCTGCCTAAGGAGTGGGCTGGTGTGTGCTGGAATGTTTCACTTTTGCTTTCCTTGCTATGGATCTCATGCTTTGAAGCATAACTGGTAGTAACAGATGCTAGTGGAGATACTACATTTCCTCCACAAAGTAAGGGCATAATGAAACTGACAGGTATAAATTGATGCCATTCAGTTGACCATATCCAAGCAAACAATGTTGTCTGTTTAACTTGTGCAAACAGGATTTAGTTCAGTCATGTCTATTATTTCCTTGTTCAGAAGTGGAGCCAATAAAAGGTGTCCAGCAGGATGTGGAGTGGAAAGCTAACTTCTGACAGAGCTGCATGGATGAGACTGACCCATTAGAGGCGAGATTAGCCAAGCAGTGAGGCAGATACACACATGCCTTTCCCACAGGGCAATGTATTTTAGAGAGAGGTGAGGGTCTTTTGATTTGTCCACACATAGGACCAATTACACCCTGCCAATTGCACTCAGTTGCTTTCTAGATATTAATATTTGACAGTTCTGTAGGAAAAAAGCTGAATAAGCATCACTTTCTCCAAGATCAGGATCAGCAAATCCTT